GCATATGCATCCGAAGAAGTGGGCTGTAGTCCACGAAAGCTTATGCTCTAATAAATTTGTTAGTCTCTAAGGTGCCACAAGTCCTCCTGTTCTTCTTTTTGCGGATACAGACTAACACGGCTGCTACTCTGAAACCAATAATAAGAAACTATCATATTGCTTTTATATAAATCCCTGGTACGCTCACACCTGGAACTGTGTGTGCAGATGTGGTCACCCCATCTCACAAAAGATCTATTGGAGTTGGAAAAGGTTCAGAAAAGGGCAACAAAAATGATTAGGGGTCTGGAACGGCTTGAATATGAGGAGAGATTAATAAGACTGGGACTGTTCAGGATGGAAAAGAGACGACAGAGAGCCAGAAAATCATGCCTGGTGTGGAGAGAGTGACTAGGGAAGTGTTATTTACCCCTTCTCGTAACACCAGAACCTGGGGTCACCCAATGCCATTAACAGGCAGCAACAGGAAGCGTTACGGCCCCGTCGAAGCACTGACCGGCCCCCGCCCACCCAGAGGGAGGCCTGAAGGATCTTGGGCAGGGACCCCCAGCCGACATCACCTCCCACAGGGGAGCAGGCTCCACTCCCACCCAGGCCTGCTCCTACCTCCCAGACTCGGAGGAACCCGTCGGCGCCGCCCGTGGCCAGCAGCGAATGGTCCGCGCTGACACGCACGGCCTTCTGCAGCGCGTCAGGGCTGAAGTCCGTCTGCACGCTGCACAGCGTCTCCACTGCCACCTGGCCTGCCTCGCTCCTCGTGTCACCCTCGCCTTTCTCAGAGGGGCTGGGGGCCTTTCGCTTCCGGGGGCCCTTCTCCGCACCGCCTGGGACAGAAAGAGCAATGACGGCCCACGGCAGCCGGGCGCCTCCGACCCCTGCCTCCATCCGCTCCCCACAGCGCCCCCTGCTGGGCGAGGCCGGACAGAGTAGCCAGGGGCTCCCCCCCGCCTAGCTCCTCCCCCCCACACAGCGCCCCCTGCTGGGCGAGGCCAGGAGCTCCCCCCAGCCAGTTCC